CCTCCTTTGCAATTATAATGGAATCATGTTCTTTTTTCAAAAAAAAAAAAAAAAAATCGAGCATGGAATCCCATGGCGGTATGTGTTTCAACAGTTTGTAGGTATACCGACTGAGCGACCGTCTTCCCCGAACACAACGCATTCTGATTCTGACTGTATCTGGCCGGAAACATACCTTGTATACGTTCCTTTTCAGGGGGCGTTATGTTCGGGGGAAGACGGTAGGTCAGTTGGGTGTCGTCTCATTTGGTAGATGGACCCTGGTGCCATCTAGTCGAGAGATTGGGCCTCGTTCCACTATATTTATTTTTATTACTCACCAAATTAATGTGCAAAATGAGAATGAATCTTGCGCTAGAACATGGAAAGGCACACCCCCGCCATATTTCTTGTCGTTTGTGCCTGTGGCGAGTAGTGGAGCGACGCCCATTGTTTGCCTGCTGCCCTGCCCCATAAATTCCCCCCCCGTGCTTCTCTGCACACTCCATCTGGAAATTGCGTATGGCTATTTCCCATAGGTGCTTTCTGTATTTTTTTTTTATTTTTTTTTTGTAAAGCGAAACTCTTTTCAAAGAAAAAATTGGACCATTTCTCGATTTCTGCGTGTCATCCTTGTGGCCGCAGCCATGCTAATCTTCTCTGTATTAAATTAAAAATAATTAAAAACTATATATGTTCTCTTTATCGTTCCAATTTTAACGGATGTCCCGAAATACCTTTCCGTAACTACGTCGCCATCTTTTTTTGTTTTTTTTTGTTTTTATTTTTTTATTATTTTTTATTTTTTTATTTTTTTATTTTTATTTTTTATGTTTTTTAAGCCGCTGTAGGTAATTTCTATGCGTAAATATGGCCGTTATTTCGAGACGTTATGATGTATGGGTGTGATTTCTATACGATTCGGTTTTTCTGCTCTGATTCTTATCCTTTTGTTCTTTTGTTGTCCCAGGCTTTAGGTAATGGGCCTCGCTGCACTACTCTCGAAATGTGCAAAACGAGAGTGAATCTTCCGCTAGAATATGGAAAGATGCACCGCACGAGATGTGCAAAATGAGAATGAATTTTCCGCTAGAACATGAGACGATACAAGGCCGTAGTTTGTCTTTTGTGCGTATGGTGAGTAGTGGAGCGATGACCAATGTCTTCGGTAATTCCCAGGCTTCTCTGCACACTCCATACGAACGACAGTACGTATGGCTGGCTTTTCGTTGCTTTCTGTATCTCGGTGGTTAAACCATTTTGATGTGCAGAGTTACTGCAGTGGTTAAACCATTTTGATGTGCAGAGTTACTGCAGTCAGAGGTACTGCAGTGGGTTAAACATTTTGATGCAGAGTTACTGCAGTCGGAGTTACTGCAGTGGTTAAAACCATTTTGATGTGCAGAGTTACTGCAGTGGTTAAACCATTTTGAAGTTCATGAAGTGAGATAGTAGTCGGTGCAGAGTTACTGCAGCGATCGAGGCAAAAAAAAAAAA